ATGGTAGGCAATCAGCTACTTATCTGATGGCCACTATGCACAGGAATCTGGGGTTGGTCAAGCGTTGCTGGACGAGAGCCGGTTTCCTTGGAAAGTAGAAGTAGATCAAAGACGTCGTCAGATCCACTGGCAGCAGAGTTTTTTAGACACGAGCAGCGATTGTATGAGAGCACGGAAGCTTGTGACTGGAACCATAATGTCTGGGTGAAACGATGGAACGTGCTGTTCGACGGCGACGACGAATGCAACTCCGAGGTGAACTTTCTGTTTCATCAGGAGTTCGTGGAGCGCCATGGCAGCAAATCCATGGTTCTCGAGGTGAACTAGATTCGCGTACGGGTTCCGTTTAGAACCTGATGCTGCAACTGCGGGGCCAAGGTTTCGGCATTGCGTTGAAAGGCGGATGTTTTGCTATCGATGCCGTCGACTCGATAACGTGTCTCCCAAGTGTCCCGAGTGCGCGGAAAACGGCAGACTGCGTGATCCGAAAGCGAGAGGTATGCCCCCAAAAATGAATCCCGCAAAGTAGAAAAGCGTCTATAGAGGGATAAAACTATTTAATTCTTACCTGTGAAAGAAAGTATGCTACGTTACTACGTTTCAGGATCTTTGCAGATCATAAGCTAAGCGGCATGCGAATGGTTTCCAGGAGAGTCTAGAAGGCAAGGGACCGCTACGGGATCAGGAGATCCAGACAACGTCAGGTTGACGCTTGGAGTTTCCTGTAAGGTATGAAGGGAGAAGTAAACCAACCTTGTTCTATCTTTGCCATTACAAGCAGTGTACTTCGGAGTAAATTTCTGGCGAGCGTTTGTTCTAGTTTCAGCGGTCCTAGAGGAGCCAATAACGAGGAACGTGATTAAAGCAGAAGAAGTCAACGTGAGGCAGATGAAGCACTACGCGGACCAGGAAAACGAAAACGAGGTACATGTGAATTCTGGACCCTTTCTGCGGAAGATAAGGAGTAGTTAGATCAGATTGAGGATGAGTTTTTACCTTTAAGCGTGATGGCCCTGGATCCAACAGCCTAGAAAAACACGTCATCGAGCTGAAAGAAGGGGCTCGAGTCTTATAAGATCATCCGTATCCCATGTCGCCGGCCAAACAGAAAGTAGTCAAAGATGAAATCGACAAGATGCTGGAGCTGGAAGTCATTAAGGGGAGCACGAGTCCATGGAGCAGTGGTATCAGAACCTGGAAAAGACTGATTTATTCTGGATGCATGAAAACTGAATGCGTTGACAGTAAAAGTTGCCTTCCCTCTGGCCAGTATCGACGAAATCCTCTCCAGAATAGATCAAACGTATTAAATATTAACTGTCGATCTCAAGTTCACGTTCACGCAGGACGAATTGGAGGACAAGAGGAAGGAATACCCAGTGTTCCCTATTCCAGGCAGACCGTTGAACCATTTTAGAATGATGCTATTCGGGATATGAAACGCAGTGCAACGCTTGCTTGGCTTACGGATCGAGTGATCCCAGCAGAGTTGAGATCCAACGTGTTTGAAGACTTGGATGACTTTCTGATCCCTGCTCTAGGCTTCCATACGCACCTGCGATATTTGCTTCGAGTAGCCCAAAGTTTGAAAGCGGCCGTATTGACGATCGGATTAAAGAAGTGGACGCTGTTTTAACTCTCTGTCTTACTTGGGTTTTATAATCGGAGGTTGTCTTCTCCGTATGGATGAGGCGCGAGTAAGGGCGTATTGAAGAATTCCATCTCCGAAATCCATTAAATGATTACGAGCCTTCCTCGGCACAGCTGAGTATCGACGGCTCGTGAAAAGATTTCTTCTAAGACCCCGAGCCAAACAGACTGACCTAAAGTTGCCCTTGACGACCGCGCCGGTCCTCGTGTTTACGGATTTCAAAAATACTTCTTCACCCTATGCTACACATGCTACTTTGATGAATCGTCACCAGGTCAACTACTCAGTCAAGGTCATGGAGAGCTTGGCGGCGATAACACGAGTTACGAACTTCTGATCTAAGTTTTGATATTGATTTTCAAAGCAAGCAATTGTTGATGTGCCTTAGCCATATTTTGCCCGCCATTCTGAATTTTGCTTAAAACAACTGTGCTAGTGGTTTTAGAATTATAATATTGCCGTCCGCTAGGCCAAACTTGTCCTAATTACTCGATTATTTAACAAAATTTCAGTAAGCTCGTCCGAAACTCAAAATAGCTCTTCTTACCTATGCTTAAATAATTTCCTATGCTAATACTATATAATATACACAGTGGCGAGCAAAAAATAGTACATGTTTGCATAATTCACATTTCGGAGTGAATGATGAAGAAAACAGATAAAATGTTTATTCTTTTTATTCAATATATAATTTACTATACATTAACAAGAAAAGATCAACGAAGAGGTGCACAAAGAAGAACAAAAAACTTGAAATAAAAAACTCGTACTCATTTATGCATCTTTGACATATTTACTCATATTTTCCTCTAAGATCTATATGATATAGATATCCGATTTTAATTTAATTAAAAACGTAGTTACATAGTATTTAAATATTAAATATTTTTTCCGACTGTTCCTATGGGAGCAATATGATATATATGATATATGATATATATATAGCAATAGAAAGACAACTTTTGGGAAAGTTTCAAACAGATATGTAGCTTTAAAACTGAGGGACTAGTTTGCGTATAAACTTTTGACTGAAACTAAATAAGGGTATACAAATTGAGTTTTGTCTATAAGTTAGCTTGACTCTAATGTATGTATAAATAATCATCCTGTTCAATCATAGAAGTTCTTTTGACACACAATTAGTTTCTCAGTCCAGAAATGATTTCTGGACGAAAATCGTCTTCTCGAACAAATACGCGCACATACACACTTCCTTATTCGTGCAATTCTATTTTTAGATTTTTACGCTCTCAACTTTGTGCGAGCGGAGAGAGCGGAATTTTCGTCGCCACCAAAAAACGAGCTGCATATTGCAAAACCAATGTATGGGCGTTACGCATCTTAGTGATTATATTGGTCTTTGCCCAAACCATAACGTGTCCGCCGTCATGCTTAACGGTGGGTTTTAGATGTTTGTCCTGCAGCTCTGTATTGGCTTTACGCTATACATTTAGACCCAAAAATATTACGTAATTTTCGCTGATGAGTCAAAATTTAATATATTTGGTCCGAGGACGTTCTTAGCTATGGCGTAAAGCCAATACAGAGCTGCAGGACAAACATCTAAAACCCACCGTTAAGCATGACGGCGGACACGTTATGGTTTGGGCCTGTAAGTCCGCAGCTGGAGTCGGAAACCTAAAATTTATTGAAAGCATAATGAATAAAAATGTTTATCTTAATATCCTTAAGGATAATTTACTTTAAAGTGCTGAGAAATTGGGAATAAAACAGGGTTTTCGGTTCTACCAAGACAATGACCCAAAGCATAAGTAGGGTATTATTCAATATTGGCTGGGATATAATTGTCCCAATATAATGAAATCTCCAGCTCAGTCACCCGATTTTAATGTTATTGAGAATTTGTGAGCTTTGCGGGACTCAAAAATTCGGGAGCGCAATATTTCCAATAAAAATGACTTGAAAACGGCTTTGCTCGAAGAATGGGCTAAAATCACCCCAGGAACCTCAACAAAATTGGTCGAATCTATTTCCAATCGACTGAAGTCGGTTGTGGACCAAAAGGGAGGACATACCAAATACTAAAAGTTAAAAAAATATTTTTATGCAATTTTTTATAATTAATTTGATGAACTGGGTCAAATAAGCTGTGACATTGAAAAAGGCAGTATTTGTAGTTTTTATTGTTTAATTAAGAAGTTCCTTGCTAGAATAAATAAATGAAAACATATTTTTGAAGTTAAAACAACAGTTAACCTTTCTGCGTTTTATTTTTATGCGTATCTCTTATGGTTCAGGAGTTATACCTGTTTAATGTTGAAAATTAGGTGTGGGTCAAATAAGCTGTGAGCCACTGTATGTAGGTGCCTCCCTCTCAGGCATTTATTGACATTGAATAATTTCAATTTCTATTCTACTACATAAAAACTTAATTAATAGTCACTCATTACAGATCCTTAAACCAAAGTTGGCGGTCGTGTCTACGTTTACGGGGTCAAGCTGAATTTTCGCTGCTTGGGTACATCTACAGAAAATAAACGCGAAAGTAAAGCAACATGTTAATGGTGCGTTTCCGTTAGTTTAAGCAATTGGGGGTATCCACTGTAAGGCCGGGTTCACACTGCGCATGGGATATGGGTAAAGGTGGAGTTAAATTATGGAAGCGGGTTCTTCCATGACCCCGGTTTGCCTAGAGCTACAGAAAACTTTAAATTTAACATCTTACAAAAATATTTTGGTTCGACTCCAATATATCGATAATTTTCCATCCCACAATCGGCTGCAAAAGCAACAATTTTTACTGTTTTGGTTCAATAATGACCAAATTTATTAATTTGCTTTCATTGGCCAAAAGCTTTATTACCGAAACTAAGTTTATTTTTTTTTCGCATACATAATTATAATGCAATACTTTTTTTCGTTTTATCAACTTTTTAAATTGTATCTTATACTTTTGTTTTCTTTAAAATTATTTAAGAAATTCTCTCGTTATTTTCAAAGAAACGAAGCTAGGTTTGTTTGAAAAGAATAAACAATTGAGATTGAACATGCAAATTCTAATGATGCTTATGTAGCGCAAGTATGTTTTTAAAAATGGTTTACGCCCACTTCTTCGGGCAGAAAATTTAAAACTCTTTTTTAAGGACATACATACATATGTCGAACTAGTTGCCAAAAATAAATAACTAAGTACCCATTTCTATTAACGGCCCAATTCCAACTGTTCGACTTTCACTGTCTGTTCCTTCCCTGAACGCTAACACAGAATTTTTGTTGATGCGTTTTTTGCGGCTGCCATGTCTGAATAGGTTATTAAATGATTTTGTGTAAACGGCATCGCATAGTTAAGGAACCAGTTTTTATAATCGGTAAGATAAAAAGACGGTCACACAAGGGGCGTTTGTTACTCTTAAACAGATACCAGATACATTTTAAGTGAATAACACTGCTGCGAACTGTCTCTAACAAATTCAATCTAAATCGATATTTTGTTCTTAAAATTTGCGGGTCTCCGACCCGGATCGTACTCCAAAATAACAATAGTGAAAATTGATTTTTAACCAGTGCGGAATTTGTGCCAAACAGCAATAAAACCGATAACAGAAAAGCAACAAGATGGTGCAAAAGTTTCAGTCTCCAGTTCGCGTCTACAAGTATCCCTTTGAACTGGTGATGAAGGTGTGTATTTTTAAATTATTTCTTTTTTGTGCGAGCGTTGGAGTGTCCTCGTCAATAAAATACAGTGATATTGCAAGCCTTTTAATTATTCAAGCTGAAAAAGTAATTTTGGCTTACAGTGAACATACAATTTATTCTGTCATTCGAGATTTTCAACTTAATTTATTAATAACTTAACAAACGGAAACAAAAATTTTATATATAATTGTGAAGACTAACATTCACAGAATATATTTTAACAATAAAGTAGAAAATTTTCAGCTTTAACATAAGATATTTTTTTAAATTATCTACAGGACTTAAATTTTTTAGCTGCTTACAGTGATAAAGCCACTCTTGTACCAAATAGGATAGCCCCAGATCTAGATCTAGCCCCAGCTTTCAATCCCCACTCTTATTAATTTTATCGTCAAACACCCCATTAAAAATCACGAATCGGGGCTTGTTGATATGAAGTTTCATGAACTCCAAACTTGGTGGTTTATGATGGTTATGGTTTTCGTCGAGCAACTCTAGATTCCTCCCATTGTTGTAGATTTTGTTCCTGGGTTTTGCAAGGCCGTGACACAATTTTACGTCCTCCGCGTGGTGATAAGAATCTTAGGGCTTCCAGCATTCCTATGATTTGCGGCTTATTCTCCAGTGTTTATATATTTTTTAATCACACTAAGAATTAACGACGATTACCCAAAATTAATTATACCCGTTACTCGTAGAGTAAACGGTTGACTTTGGAACAGCTGGTCAAGGTGCTCAACAGAGTCAACGTTAATTCTCGATAAGGATTTCTATTAAAAGAAATTGCGGTGTTTTTTTTTTTTTATAGTATGTATATATTTAAATTAAACAAAAAATCAAAAAACAAAAAAAAATTAAATAGTTGCATGCAAAATTTTCTTTAATTGTAACTAAATTAAATTTTATAGTAAATTAAATAAAACAAAAAACACAAAAAAAAAATTAAATAGTTGCACGCAAAAACCCCCAAAAAAAAACTAATTAGTAAGGTCAAATAAGTATTAGTAGTATTAGTAGTAAGTACATAAGTATGCTTTCCGTATGTTACGGATAAACAAAATTTTGGGGAACATGGAGATTCCAAACTTGAATAAAGTTTGGCAACTTAAGGCGACTCGTAGGTCCCCAAATTTTATTTTGATTTGAAAGACCCCGTTGCAAATCAACGGCGTCCACGTGGTGTTACCTGGGTACCGATTTTAACATAAAAATCGGGAGCTAATTCGAGCGGCGAAAAACATACAAGAAGGCATATTTATATTAAGTTGTTTAGCTGAGTAACGGGTATCTAATAAACGAGGCTATCGACTATAGCGTTCTCTCTTGTTTTTGTCTGGATTTTGGCAATACCATTTACAAATCTTGACCTCGTCCTATTTTGTCTAACCGATTCAAGAAACTCAGCGAAACTAACCAAAAAAAAAACCTGATCTGAAGTAATTCCACGTAAAGTACAAAAAAATCGACTATTACCATTGCATTTAGAAACAGAAGTCAATGAATGGAAATGGAGGAATAATTTTTGTGACGCATTTTAAGAAGTTTTGGATAGCGAATCCATTCGATATTTTCGTGGGTAATAGAAAACATCAATATTTTGTGTATGATGGCGTTTGTTTTTTACTAAAGGAAAGTGCTATTTATACCCTTGCAGAGGATATTATAATTTAGTCAAAAGTAAACGCAGTGAAGGAGGCCCTATAAGTATATATATTCTTGATCAGCATCACCAGGAGAGTCAATCTAGCCATGTCCGTCTGATTCTACGCAAACTAGTCCCTCACTTTTAAAGTTATCTCCTGAAACTTTCCCAAAAATTTTATTTCTACTGCAGGTAGCTTATCATGTAGCTCCCATAGGAACAATCGGAAAAAACAAATTTTTTAAAAGTACAATTTTGTTGTTTTACCCTTGCAGAGGGTATTATAATTTCACTCAAAAGTGTGCAACGCAGTGAAGGAGACATTTCCGACCCTATAAAGTATATTCTTGATCAGCATCACCAGGAGAATCGATCTAGCCGTTTCTACGCAAACTAGTCCCTCAGTTTTAAATCTATCTGCTTAAAACTTTTCCAAAAGTTGTCTTAATATTGCAGGTAGTATATAAGTCGGAACGAGACATATCGGGCGACTATATCATATAGCTGCCATATAACTGAACGATCGGAAATACCAGAACTTTGGTTTTATTTTTGGCCAATAAATCCGACCTACAAAATTTCATATGGATCGGCCGACTATATCCTATAGCCGCCTTATAACTGATTTATCGGAAATACCATAACTTTGGTGTTTGTGATGTTAGGAAGTTGGGATTTTCTATGGGTTTTCTATTTGGCCAATTAATCCGACCTATCAAATTTTCGACTATATCCTATAGCTGCCATATAACTGAACGATTGGAAATGCCATAACTTTGGTAAAGTTAGGAAGTTTGGATTTTTTATGAGTATTAAGAATGCATCATATGAATAGTTCTGGAGAATATAATTTACAGAATATTCTGCAAGGGTATATCAACTTCGGCTCCGCCCGAAGTTAGCTTTCCTTTCTTGTTTCATAATAAATCCTTTTATTTGGATTTAAGGATACGAAATTCTTTGTTTAAGACCCCCAACTCGGATCTTGGCTTTTAGCAGGACACTTTATTACAATAACTCGATTAACCTGAAAAACTTTTTTTAATAGGGGCTTTTTCGCGCCTATGGTCATTATGTTATGTTTTTTATGTCGGTTGCATTATATTTTTATTTTTCGTCGCCTTGGTAAATTAACGGTAAAAACTGTTATTTTTCTGTAGCAGTGTATTGATTTTGAAGTTTAGTATCTTGTTTAACCTTCTGTTATACTTGTTTTTCATAATAGAAAACAAATTTTATTGCTAATATTGCTTGAAATTGTTTATAAAATGCATTCCGCCTATGATTTGTAAAGACTTATTTATTTATTATGATGTCTCATTTGATTCTGTCTAATTTCTTTGATTTACATAAACCTACGTGGACATATGAGCTGGTTGACAATCAGAGGCTTTCCATAATAATAGACCCACTCTAATAAGTCTATATAGTACATTGTTCAACACGAGCCCCTGTTTCTTTTAATTTAAAAGAAACTTGTTCATATTTCCCACGATGCCTGCCAACACCACTATACCTAAAAATCACAAGGCCTCTGTGTAAAACTGAAAATCATATCATATGCGAAGAGTCCTTAAGTAAAATATGATAATTTTTGTTAAGATTATTATCATTAAATTTGCACTTACTTTACGGGTTAATGCTTGAGAGAAGGAAAAGTAGATACGGATTATACAAAAATTTAAATTTATCAAGTGGTTTCAAAAATGTTGAAGCAATTGCCGAATTCATTAAGCGTTGGTCATGTGGATATTCACACGTTAAATAATATAGCATTCGGTAAGAGGCAAACGTGGTGACTCCTTACTGGCATGTAAAATTTTTCCATTGGTTAACGATTTCCGATTTTTTCAAAGACACGCGACTAAGCAGGTTACACCTTCCGTGAAATTTATATGTAAGTGCCGCATTAAGTTGTAATTTTTTAAAATACATTTTTTAATAGCACCTTTAAAATACACACAAAACGAATATCAACCGGTAAGCTTTAAAAATCCATATCCAATGGATATAACGGCGGATTTAAATATTACATTTCAGAATAGATTAGATTCTAAGGGATTTTGGTACAAGCTAAAAATATATATTAAACATTAATTGATAATAAATAATATGAAATCTGACAATGCAATAATAAGTCAACAAATTGTCAGACCTAACTGAAGATGTCCCATCAGATGTATTGTTGGTAGCTGCAAGCTGCAGCTTATATAAAGCTGGAAAACGCAGTGCTTCACAGAACAACAACCAAAGCTGATTTGGTTTGAAGTTTTCTCAACCACTAAGCGCAGACACCGACTGCGATATGCCCTGTTCCTATCTCAGTAAATTGATTTTATTAAGTAGAATATATACATATATGCAAAACATTTTACTGCTACTACTAATTTGAATTTGTAACCCGAAATGAAATGTATGCTGAAATATTAAAAAATATACTATATATACAATATTCTTATTTTTATCATTAACCCAATAGTGAATACGCCCATTTTGTTAGGGTACCAAGTCTGGAAAGTAACAAAAGATAAAATATTCTTGCCGCATCGAATTGAAATTAACGCAAACCCCTGTATGAGAATGCATGAACACGCATACATATAAAGACCAATTCAAGCGCAGGCGCAACCTTCTTAAAAATGTGCCTTTCTGCGACTGAACGACCGAACTCGTGCAATGAGTGCGCAAGCATCAAAATGAGAATAAGAATGAGAGCGCAAAAAACCCGAAGGCACACGAAGTGTCAGGGGCCAGACGCTACTAGCCCGGGAGCCTGTCGCTAAAAAATTTTGTTGCATGGTTAGTGCTGCTACATACAATGCAAATGGGGCTGTGATGGCAGCAGCGACCATTTAACGTACAGGCAAAAATTTGATGACTTTGATGGAAACATGATAGATCAATATTTATTTTCAATTTGTATGGTGTCATTAACAGTGCAGAACGGACCAATAGTTTTATGGAAAAACAATAGACCTTCTTCTACTCGATATTGTCGACCCATTAAGATACTTTGCGAGAAAGAATCGGCAGACTTAATTCGCAGAGAAAGTGAAAATAATAAAAGCCAAATATCAAATATTTTACCAACATTAGTGTGTGGCTTTAAAATTGATCACCAATTTCATATGACCATGCTTGATGGCAAAACGTTCTTTGTCATATCGGAATCTTCTTCGTAAACATGCGGAATCTGTATGAACGATCTGAATTTGATGAAAAGCTTGTCTATTAATGAAAACCTCTTTGAATATGGCTTATCAAGTCTTGGATTAGGTTTTTCGAGTGTGTTTTGCACATTGCATGTAGAACTCCGATACAAAAGTAACAAGCTTGTGGT